GTGAATAAGTGATCTTCCCAATATTAATAAACGACTCACTTAGGAAATGACAAGAAGTTCTACACAGAAATGGCAAGAGAAGCTTTAGAAAGAAAGAGATCGGCACGGAAATACTAGGTAACTTGGATGCAGCAATCACTAAAAGGTCTCTAGTGATGAATTTTTTTTTTTGTCCTTTTTGAGACCAGCTGAGCGCTGTGAGCGCACCGGTCATCCCTATATAGGATCCGAACCCACGGCGGGAGCGCTGCTGCGCTCCCAGCACCGCACTCTCCCGAGTGCGCCACTGGCTTGGCCCGATGAATTTGTTTTTAAATATATAGTTCATTTATTTTTATTATTATTATTATTATTTTTTTTTTAAAAGATGACTGGTAAGGGGATCTTAACACTTGACTTGGTGTTGTCAGCACCACACTCAGCCAGCGAGCTAACCGGCCATTCCTATATGGGATCCGAACCTGGGCTTTGGTGTTATCAGCACTGCACTCTCCCGAGTGAGCCACGGGCTGGCCCTAGTTCATTTATTTTTAATTACACAGTAATGGTTCTAACCTTATCCTGCAACTTGCTTTTAAAATTAATGTCATGGGCCGGCCCAGTGGCGCACTCGGTAGAGTGCAGCGCTTGGGAGTGTGGTGGCACTCCCGCCGAGGGTTTGGATCCCATATAGAGACCGGTCCGCTCACAGGTTGAGCGCGGTGTGGGCGCGACACCGAGGGTTGCAATCCCGTTGCCGGTCATGGTATGGGCACAACACCGAGGGTTGCGATCCTGTTACCGGTCACGAAAAAAGACAAAAAGGAAAAAAAAAATTAATATCATGTTTTGAGATCTATCCATGATTATTCATGTAGATATTTTATTTCTTTTAATTGTTGTATGTTATTCTGCTATATGAATATACTCTACTATGTAATATATCGATCCCTTACTGATGGACATATAAGTTTATGTTCGTTAGGATGTTTTCTACTTCATGTAACAGGAAACATGACTCATACTGGTATAAATTTTAGGGAAATTTATTATTTCATGTTGCAGAAAGCCCAGAAGCAAAATGGTGGCCAGGTATATACAATCAGGGTCTTAACTCTGCTATTTTCTGTTTTTTCCTTTTCTGAGTTGTTTATTAATTATCTGTTGCTATGTAATAAATTACCTCAAAACTTAGTGGCTTAGTGGATCAGGAATTTGGGTACGGCTTAGCCAGGTCTATGACTTAAGGTCTCTCATAAGGTTGTAGTCAAGCTGTTGCCCTGGGAGGGGTGGTTCTCTCCTGTATTGGATTGAATTATGTCCCCCCAAAACTCCCTGAAGCTTGAATTGTGTCCCCCAAGTTTTATGTATTAGAAACTTAGCCTCCACTGTGACTGTTAAGAGGGTGGGAAATCCTATTATAGTAATCAAAAGGTGGAGCTTTGAAGAGGTGATTAGATTGTAGGACCATGCCATAGTGAATGGATTAAAAATGGTGGTTGGGGCATAGTTCTGAGGGCTTTAAAAAGAGAGTGAATGAGAACCTCTTTCTCTCTCTGCTCTTTCTGCTGCCATCGTCTTGCAATGTGAGACCCCTGGGTCACTGTTGCCACCACCAGATGGACTTTGGACTTCCCAGCCTCAGAATCTGTAAACAATAAATGTCATTTTCTTTGTAAATCACCCAGTTTCAGGTATTTTGTTATAAGCAACGGAAACAGACTAATACGTCTCCTTTATGTGAGTCTGTCCATGTGTGTATTAGTCCGTTTCTGTTGCTTATAACAAAATACACGGAATGGGGTAATTTATAAGAAAACGAAATTTGTTGCTTACATTTTTAGAGGCTAGGAAGTCCAAAGTCCAGGGAAAACATCTGGTGAGGGTTTCAGTGTTGGCAACAGTGACACAAAGGGGACTCACATGGCGGAACAGAGAGAGCACCCTACTTTGAAACCCCTCAGAACCACGCCCCTGAGCACCACCTTTAATCCATTCACTAGGTGTCCCGACCTGCGGGATATTCAACGCAGACCCTGGAGGGGGGAGTGGGAATTGGATGGGACAAGAGACGCGAGAGATGGGAGACAAGACAGTATTCTGATCAAGTCTCGTTTATTGGTTCTTAGGTTACATCTTATATAGGAAAAAGCAGGCATGTTGCAAAGGGTCTGGAATGTAAAGATATGATAATATCTTGAGGAGAGACAAAGACAGGACATTCAAAGTAAAGGTTGCCACCCAGAATGTTTATGGTTAAACAGTTTCTAGAGAAGGATAAAAGGTCACTTGCAAATTAACTTGCATAGCCAGGAGCAATCAGTTTCTGGCATAAAGATTTCGAGGCAGTTATCATGTAAAGCATGGCCATCTGAGCAGATTGTCACGTAGGAGCGGTCTCACAAGAAGGGGTGTGGAGCTTCAGGTCCCCAACAACTAGGCATGGTCCTCAGAATCTAAACATCTCTTCAAGGTCCCATCTCTCAATTACCATAATAGGATTTCCTACCCTCAATAGTTACAGTGGAAATTTAAGCTTCAGTGAGGTTGGGGGGAGTCATCCAATGTACAGCAACACGGCTGCTTCAAGACATGGCATTTGGCCCCAGAAAGATCAAATCTAGAGCTCAAGACAGTGCCCAGGAAGGAAGCCATAGTGTTTTTATAACCTAGTTTTGAAAATGACATGCCATCACTTTTGCCTTATTATATTGTCTAAAATGAGTCATTAAGTGTAAGTAAGTGTAGCCCACACTCAAGGGGAGGGATTACATAAGAGTGTGGTTGCCAGTAGGTGGGATCATTGGAGGTCAACTCAGAGGCTGTCTACCATAAACTGGATCTCCTCATAATGCAGGATTGCTGCCAGCAACAGTGCATCAACATTTTTCTTGAAGCAAGATGCTCTAAAAGGACCTTTCTGGCCCTGCATGGAAACCTTTCCTGATTTCTTCTGTCCCCAGTTCAACTCAATTCAATACAATCAACATTTATTGAGTGTTTGCTTTTGGCCAGGCTCTTTGCTATTTCCTACAGCCATGTCTTCAGAGAGCTCAAAGTCTGAAGAGATATAGACGCATACAGCAAATAATTGCAGTATACCATGGGAGATCAAATGTCCCAGCAGCTGAGGAAGCAAACAGGAGAAATGAACTAGGGTTAGAGGAGGCAGAGGAAGAAATGGTTGAGGTGGGTTTTGGATGATCTGTTGGAGGTAGGTGACTTGGGAAGACAGGGCCAGGGCATTCCAGAACTTAAATATTATAGAAAAGTACAAAGAATATTGTACCTATAATTCCACTATCCAACGTTAACATTTTACGTTTATTTTTAGGTTTATCTTTTTAAAAAGTAATCATGACATATCTCTCTGAATTCCTGTTTAGGGTTCCCCCACCCATATAACTGGCTTTTCCCCCTACCCCAACTTCAAGGGATTGATGTAACAGTTTTTTGAAGCAAGTTTTGTCAGTAACCTTCTCCTGCATTCATAACATTACCATGGTGTGTATCCATCTATCCATCTAGTCCATTTTATATACTTGGCATGCATATATTTCCCATAAATACTATATACTGTTTGTCAACCAAAGTAAATTACGTCCTCTCCCAGGCTTCAGATATGAAACAAAAAGGGTTTATTTGAGAACTCATTAGGACTGCTGTAGGGGAGACACACATTCAAGAGGCTTTGAAAATGTGCTCAGGAGAACGTAGAGAAGTCAGGGTATTTAAAGGAAAAAGATGGCAAAAAGGAGGGGGCGGTTAGAAAAGTTATGATTGGTCCTAGCTTATGTCAAACAGCCTTGTCCAGAAGGGATTGATGTAACAGTTTTTTGAGGCGGGTTTTGTCAGGAACCTTCTGGTTTGGCAGGAAGTAGTGAAAAATAACAAATAGCATCATTCCTCCAGGAGGTTGTGACCCTTGTGATGATGCTGAGTGCAAGTTCCAGAATGTTCTCAGTTAAGATGTGCCTGAAGCTCAAGCTGAGATTGCCTCCCGGCTTTCTCTTAGGTGCCTTGGCTAAACCAACATCATTTTCCCTCTTTATATTTATTTTTAAATTTACATAAGTCATTTAGCCCTGTACGTATGTGTTGTCATGTTACTATTTTAATAACTCATGTTATTATGAGCTATCAAATGTTGATACATATAAGTATATTAGTTTTTATTTGTTGTAGTATTTTATTGTAGGAACATTTTATTCATCCGTGTCTCATTGGACATTTCTGCTGCTCACATTTTTCACAAGGAAGCAGGCTTCCTTGAACATGTCTTCTTGTGCACACCTGTAGGAGTTCCTTTCTGTATTTTTCTTTTCTTTTTTTTTTTTAAAGACCAGTAAGGGGATCTTGACCCTTGACTTGATGTTGTCAGCACCACGCTCTCCCAAGTGAGCTAACCGGCCATCCCTATATAGGGATCCGAACCCGTGGCCTTGGTGTTATCAGCACCACACTCTCCCAAGTGAGCCACAGGCCGGCCCTTTTCTGTGTTTTTCTAGATGTACATTTAAAATTTCATCACATCGCATTGTCTTCAAAAGTGGCCGTCCTAATTTTACACTCCCACCTGCCAGCTCTTAGTTGACAATACCAAGATTTCCTACCTCCTCTGAAAAGATCAGTACCATCTGAGGAAGTAGTTTTCCAGTGGTCAAGTGCACAAATAATTTCAGTAAAAGTCGGATAACATGCAAAGAAAGGACCAGAGGAAGGTTAATGTGGCAGAGCAGACTTTGAAGGGTTCACTGGAGTAGTGCGGGAGCCCTGTCTTAACTCCTTGGTTTCCTTCAGAGTGCTAGCAAATTACACGGCCACGGCGCGCACCAGGCCGGTCCGAGACCGTCTTGGGGTGCTGGCGCGCCCCCCGCCTCGCGCAGTTGGTACGTCCCCGCGGCAGTTTTCCCCCCGCCGTGCGCATTGGTTCGGTCCACGGACGCCGGAGCCTGCGCCTGCCCTGAGCGCGCGTCTCCCCGCGGCGCCTCGGCTTCGCGCGCGTCAGCCGGCCCCCTGCTCCTGACTTGCCGCGTCCGCTTCCACCCCTCCGCGCTCCAGAGGAGGGGCTCGGCCAAGGGGCACGCGCCAGCCGGTTAGTACCTGCCGCCTTCTCACACCTCCAGCCCGCCCTCTTCCTATCTCTTTCTAGCCCTCAGCCTGGCCGCGGCCCGCTCCTCACCCGAGGGGCCCTTCTTGACGACTAGGTAGGCCCTTCCCGACGCGCGGGTAGGCCGCTCCCGAAGCCAAAAGGACCCCTCGGGGCGCCGCAGTGGGCCTCTCCGGACGCCAGGTGGGAAACTCCGGACGCCCGGGTGGGCTCTTAGCTGCTCTGAGGTGGGCTTCCAGGCCCGTCCCGCTCACAGCTGGGGGCGGCCTTCATCCTCCCGGCGTCCTCGCCGCCACTTCTCGCTCACCGCGGAAGGACTTCGGTCCCTTCTTCCTCAAGCTGAACTCCTCAGCAGGAGGCTCCGTCCCCGCCGTCTCCTCCCGCGGGGCGCCAGGGCCCGGACCTCTCCCAGAGTAAGGGGGCTGGGCCCCTCCGCCGCTGGCTCCTCACGCCCCGCTCCTCCCGCCAGGTTATTATTTTGTTGGAGAGTGATTCTCCCTTTCGCTAATTCTTCGCCCAGAAAAAAATATTTTCCTTGGAAATCCTTGTCATATACCACTTTTCCCTCCAACAGGGCGGTGTGTTTCTCCCGTGTTCGATGACAGGCAGTGTTTGAAGCCTTTTATTCATAAGCGTTTATTTAATCCCCATGACAACCTCGTGGAATACAGGTGCTATTATCCTCAATTTATGGATGAGGCAACTGAGGACACACATCTTGTCAGTGATGGAGCTGGGTTTAAATTCATGCAGCCTGACTCCAACGCTCTTGGTAACATCACGGAAAAGTGAAAGGTTGTATGCTTCTCTATTTTTTTTTTACCCTGTCAAGGGAGGCAGTGCCTTGTTGAATCAAAGTGTATATTTGGAATCAAATACCTTGAGCTTCAATTCCCAGCATAGCCAAAAGCTGTTTGACTTTGACTTGTTTCCTCACGCGTAAAATAGTGATATGGGTATCTAACTCCATATCACGCGTAAAATAGTGATATGGGTATCTACTACATGGAGTTATTCGGAGGTACCTAGAGTGGTGTCCAAGGACTCATTAGATGTAATTATTACTCAAGTTGTGTTTGGATTCCGTTGTTACACACTTGTTCTAAACTGAGGCTGAGTATAAACTGGGAGATGAAGTATCGGGTATGTGTGTGTATAGGTGTGCATTTACCTTTATTTTATTTTATTTTTTAAATTACAGAAACAATCAAGTTCATTGTAATCAGTTGATAAAGAAAGAGCTTGGTACCAAATTTCTTGACTACTGACATTTAGGGGTAAGAGCCAATCATTGCTAAAGGATTGTTCTTAAGGTACCTGTGCCCCTAAGCTTTCAAAGAAATTTTGACAGGTTTGTTACCTAGAATGTGAAGATTTTAAATTATCTTGTCAGTGATTGTTCTTCATATAGCTCCAGATGAGGATGTACTGAAAGAAAATGACAAATAATATTCCAAATGGGAGATTTTCTTTTTTCTTTTTTTCTTTTTTGTCTTTTTCTGTGTCCGGCAACGGATCGCAACCCTCAGTGTCGCCCCCGTACCGGACTGGGACCGGCAACGGGATCGCAACCCTCGGCGTTGCCCCCGCGCCTCGCTCAGCCAGTGAGCGGGAACCGGTCCGTATGTGGGATCCGAACCCTCGGCGGGAGCGCCACCGCGCTTTCCAAGCGGCGCACTACCGCAGTGCGCCACCGGGCCGGCCCCAAATGGGAGATTTTCAAGAAATGCCACCAGAAGTGCTACCTGTGAAATAAATAACATGTTTCACTATTGGATTACCGTTCCTGTTTATGCATTCTTGTAGAGGTATTTTGTACCTAATAGTCATGATTAAGAAGTTGCTGTTGGCATCCAGACTTGACTCCTCCTTAGCAGGCAGTTAGTGGTAATTGATTCTATAATCTCAGTTCAAGTAAGTGAAAATAAGCCATTATTTTAGTTCTTCATCTAGAAGGGTAGCAACTTTAAGAAAAATAGTAGTTGAACAATATGCTGGCTTGTTTAAATTGTCTGATCAGTGACCTTTTTCACTCTTTTAGAATTACTGTGGAAACAATTTAGTGTGGTTAAATCTCATGAAGCATTGGAATTTTGGAAGTTATATCTTTGGGGTGCCTCTTTAATGCTTCTTATTGATCCCTTATCTGCTATGATTCTTTAAAAACCCACATTGAGCCTGCAGTGGTTCTGTGCTAGGGAGAAGGGTTTTTATTTATTTATTTATTTATTT